TTCTACGTAGAATCGCGAATTTGACTACATTGGCAACTTATATGGAATTCCTCATATGAACGCGTTAGATCTGTTTGTAAAGTTTTAAAAGTTCAGGTACTATAATGCAAGATTAAAAAGATATAAATATACTAAAATTAAATTTACAACCAAATTTTTTTGACATGTTTAGGTAATAAATTGTATGAAAAAATAATGGGTAATGTCTATTTTTTATCCAAGTTTTTTTCAGATTCTTTTATATTATTCAAATATATCGAAATACTAAAAATTAGTCAAATGCTAACTTTCAGTTAGCAATTTTGTTAGTAATATTGACTTGGAAACATGATACTGACTTGGAAAAGACACATGAAGGTCAACATTCCAAAATTTTAGTATTTTAACTAAGAAAAGAGTTACAAAATTATTAACAATAACGTAAAAATTGCTAGTATTTTGATGCATTACGAAAAATTTTGCTAATTCATAGAACTTTAATAGGTTTGGATAATATAAAAGAAGCTGAAAATGATTTGGATAAAAAATAGACATTGCCCAAAATAAATTTGTAAACCAAAATGTAATTTAAAATATCAGTGTGTTGATTGATTCGAGCCGGCCTACTGGCTCAGCATAACCCGAGCATAGAAGGGTAGATAGAGTAAGGAGGGAAACATGGGTCGAGTGCGTCAAATAGGGTTCTTACAAACAGAAGCATGCCTGATCGAGTTTCAGCCCTATGTATATAAGATTTCTTTGACGTGTTTAATTTGTCATATATGATGTTATATGTCTCAATTGCACTCTATTGATCTTTTTTCGTCGTATCACTCTATTGATTTTGCATGTAATCAGGGGCGGAGCTAGAATTCGACCATTGGGGGAGGCAGTGGCGGAGGTAGTGCATATCAAGGTGGGTCCTGGGACCCACCTTGGTTCGGGAGAAAATATGTACGTCTAGGTTAATAGTGGTAGAAGGTTGTATCGGACAAGTCAACGGTAGGATATTTTATGCTGAAAATGTGGTTTAATCATGGTTCAACCATTTCATATCACTAATATCTTCTATCAATTTCGCTTCCAGCATGAGATTTTTCTTATCGAACCACTAGTACGCTACGGTTTTTCGCTCTTTAATACAATAATTAAGTGACAATGAGTTTTTTCACCTAAAATTCATCAATATTGATCAATATTCTACCATCAAACAATAATTATATCATGAATTTAGCTATCATCATTATATATAATACATTTTAGTTTCTACATAAATAATATTAGCATAAAATATAACTTCATCCTCCAAGCTTCAAATTCTTAATGTATCCATTATCTATCGCCAAAGCTTCATTTTGTTGAAACTCACTAGATCCTTTTTATCCTAATAATGAATTCAATAAATCAGGTTTTAGACTCAAACTAAGGCTACACTGCAAGTGTTGAAAGGAAATTTTCAATGAACCACGTGGATATTAAAAAAAATTCGGACCCACCTTACATAAAATCCTGGCTACGCCACTGGGGGGAGGAGGGGCGAAGTTTAGAAAGTATATTATGTAGAAGAAAATATATCATAAAAATATAATTAATATTTGTATTAATTGTTAATTTATTTGTACTATTTGAGATGATAAAAAATGGCTCAAACAAGAATCTAAACCAAAATTTTTAAATGAAGAATTCAAACAAATGAACAAACTAAAAAACAAAAATTAATCATACACTAAACATGTTTTTCGGTATTTCTATAACTGGAAAATGAACAATATTTTTTTTATGAAGGAATGAAAAATATTATTATTTGCAAAAATTAAGAAATCAACCATACAACCAAAACTATTAGTAGAAATTTAAATTTAAAATTTGAAGGACATAATTAAGCTACTTTAAAATTACAAGACTTATAAAATACGGCCACGCTTACCATTCCGCTGGACTACAAGCAAGTCACATGCTTCATTATTGCTTACAGTTTTATTTATTTTAATCTTCATTTTATACGTAATTTTTCAAACTTCGATATAGTTTTGTACGTGATTTCAAAATTCTCAGGGGGCTGGGTAGCGGCGGATCCAGAACGCAGTAAAGCACCGGGCCGCATTTCAATATAATATTATGTACCAACGGTAACAGACAAATGACTAATATTTTGATGCGTTACAAAAGATTTAGCTAATATTTTGTATTTCTAAAAGTTTGACTAATAATTTGGAAAGTCTAAAAGGTTTGACTAATAAATTGTATTTACCAAAAAATATATGATAACAATAGTTTTCATTCATTACAATGCCAATTGTACTAGAAGGTTTTTTAATTTACCAAATCCATCAATAATAATAGAATCTCCATCAATATCAATAGCATACTCTCTCTCAAAGAAAATAGCTAAGCAATCAACGAGAAATTCTTAGCATTTTGTTGCGCAAATTAGTTTTAACATATTTCATTGCTTAAAATGTTCTCTCCATGGTAGCCACTGAAACGGTTAAGGTCAACACTAGACGAATCAACCAACAAATCAATTTGTTTAGAGGATTTTCTTATTTCAATGAAACTTTATACACTCTTTAACATTTTTGACTTTTAGGTTTTATTGTTTTTTTCAAATGAAAATCATTTGGGCTAAAATTCCTAGACTAAATTGAGAGTAATGGTTTGGATATGTTCATCTAGACCATTTTTCTAACTACCCAAAATTTATTATCAAATAGCACTTGACCGATCATTAAATAATACTGGGCCGAATACCTAAAATCGAAAAATTTATAAGCTCTATATTAGCTCTGGATCCGCCGGAGGGCTGGGCCATGACTCGGGTTGGCCCAGCCCTAAATCCGCCGATGGTGCTGGGGCCCGAAGCTACACCTAGCTCCGCCCCTGCATGTAATCATATAAAATATATTTTCAAAAACTTTGTTTGATTTAATGCACTTGTGTAAAATAAAGAATTACATGAAAATTAAGATAGCTTTGTGGCCCGAATTTCGCATAGTGAAATTTCAAATACTTTCTACGACCAAGTATATAAGATTAATATATCAACCATCAAATTACATTCAATCAAAGACTTCCTAATTTATGATAACGAATTTAATCCCGTTTGAGTGCGGTGGAACTGAATAATAATATAATCACATGTATAAATGAATCTTCAGTTCGTGAGCTGGAAAATCTTGGCTGAACTAGACAAGTTTATTGTCATGGATAATGGAGAGGTTGTTGTTACTAAATAGTAAAAAAAAAAAAAAAAATACTATAAACACAGGCTACTGGTTAATGGACTCTACAACGACAAAGCCCACGCTCAACAATGTACATATAGTTTGGGCTAAAAGATGGCAGATGTATAACTTTAACGAGTCCAACTATGTATTGTGCCAGGGCCCAGGCCAGGGCCCAGGAGTTTATTATCATATTTGCCGGCAAACTGAGGAGCGAATCAAGTGAGGCGCAGGCTGACAAGTGACAATGACATCGAAGGAGAAAAAGCCACAGAGAGGTTCGCCAAACAGAACAGAAGGAACTGCATTAGAAATCGAATCTCAAGACCGATTTCGTTCCCCGCCAATTTACCAAAAATGACGAGGACTTGGCTATGCCCAAGCGGTGACACACGGTCACCGGAAAGGCCCATTGCGCCGTCATGTGGTGCGTTTTCTCCTTCTCCTTCTCCTGCTCTTCCTTCAAAGCTGTTTCGCCTCTCGGGAGGTCGCCGAACTTTCTTTCCCCCCCCCCCCCCCCCCCCCTTAGCTTTCTCCGTTTATTGAATTCGGAGATTGATTTGGGTGTCAATTGATGTGAGTGGAGCTGACATGAATGCTATTCCTATCTATCCGTGAGGACTCGAGATTGGGTGCTCGATCGAAATTTTCAGGTTTTTTTTGAATTGGGATGGGATTTATTGTGTGAGGCTTAGTTTCTCGATTGAATTATTTGAAGGCCTTCGAAATGGATGTTTGATTGATGGATGGAGCTGGAAATGAATCTCTGCCGTTGAGGCAATCACTTTAGATGAATTGCGATATACTTGGAAGGAACTCTTGTATTGAGCATGGCTAATTGATTGCACATTAGTATTAATATAAGCAATAAAATGGAATCTAATGCTGTTGGAAGCATTCGGCGGAGCTGGTAGATGCGGCTACCTGATTATTTGTGATGGATTTGGTTGTTTCTTCAGGTTAAGGGTTCCGTACAGGTCTAAGCAGGATGGTCCTCTCAAGATGTCTGAGCTGTGCTCCTTGATTTGATTCTGTTTCGTGGTCTGTGCTAATATCGGGATGGCCACAGTGATGATCGTGGCCACAGATAGGTAGATTCTTCTATTCAGGTTTTGGACTCTGTACAATTCTAAGCATGATGGTCCTATAGAGATTTCTGAGCTGGGCTCCTTGATTTGATTTTGTTTCGTGGTCTGCACTTTAGGGCTGGAGACACCCGTGAGATGGCCACGGTGATGGTCATCGCCATGAACACTAGAGGTACATTCTTCTATTCTGTTTCTATTTAGATGCTTGTAAGCCAGGAAGAGTCATTTACTGAGTCCTAGTTGTCAAGGAGTCTGTTAGAGAGTTACTTTAAACCAGGAATGTGGATTAGAGGAGCTGATCGTGGAGTTCGAATGAGGTTTGAGAGAGGGCAATTGATGTACTTAAACCTTTGCTTTTCATTCAATGGACTTGTTTTCAGTTTGCACACTTTCTGATTATCAGAACTATAGTACAGGCAGATGCTATACGAGACTAGTGCCTTAAAATAGTACAAAATTTGGCTGAAGAAGAAACAAAGACTAATCTTGGCATTTCTATGGCATCGCTCCCTCATGTTGTTAAGCTTGATGTGCAGAAGCTGAACACTCTTGTAGAAGCTTTTAACACTCTTAAAGTCCCTTGTGTTGTGTAATATAGATGACCAAGTAGTTTCCTCAATGCGACTGACTCAATTAAACACAAAAAGACATTGTTGTAGAAGATGAAGAAATTGCCCACTTCTGTATCTTGCATGTGTTGGATTCTATGTTTAGTGATAACTATTAGTCCAAAAATAATCTGGTATGTTGTTGACGACCATGAGTGCAATTGCAATTCAGAGCTTGGAGGAGGGGGTGCTGGTGGTCGATTGGAGCTTGATGAGATTTCTCCTCAGGATTTTGCCAGATGGGTTTTTGGGTATTGCTGATATGAACTCCACGTCTCTGATTTTCTTGTACGGAGCAACCTGTACACATAATTGCATACATTTTTCATCATCCAAGTTAGTACATAGAAGTAAAATGTCAACTTTTTTTTGGCATACATTTATGTTCATAGGATTTGAATGTTACCTCTTTGGCGACAAAGGCCATTATGTCAGTGCGTGATAAGTTACTGCCAGCTTTTCTGACCACATATGCCATTGGGTATTGCCCTACTTCCTTGTGCGGAACACTAGAAGAAAGAAAGAACAACCATTAGAAGATGACAAACTTGGCAATTAATCCTGGGGTTAGCAGACTTCAAATGCAACAAAGAATGAAACTTACGGAATGACAGCGGCATCTGCGATTTGTGGATGAGTGAGCAGCACTGCTTCTAGTTCTGCTGGTGCTACCTGTTCTCGTGCAAAATCCATAATGTATTTGATAAGCTATCTGTACTGTACATGGCTATAATTTGAACATTATTTGTGCAACAATCTGCTGACCTGATATCCTTTGTATTTGATGAGTTCTTTCAATCGATCGACCACGTAAAGGAAGCCATGTTCATCGATGTAGCAAATATCTCCGGTCTTCAACCATCCTTTTACATCAAAAGTCAGTGCAGTTGCTTCCGGATTGTTAAGGTAGCCTGCAGTATGAACATAAGTAACCACATCCATACTTCAGTTACATATCCTCAACAAAATCGTCAATAACCTCCGACTCACCATAATTCGAACAAGTAATAACTACTAGGTCTTGTTTATTTCGATCAAATTTACTGTAAAATGTAAATCATACTTTTTATCATAATCTAGTCCAACCTATTTATCCCCTCTAATCAATATTTCTAAAGTAGGCTAATAATGCCTATGCTTAAACCATATGTTCACACCATAACTACCACGATTCCTTTTTTTGATAACCTTAACTACCGCAATTCCAATAGACCATATACTTATATGATACCAACAACTTGTTGCATGGAAAGCGTCAATTATATATTCTATCAGCTTGTTGCCTTCCAAGTGGTAATATTACATCCCGTACAAAAGATTCTAAATAAGAAACGTTGCAAAGATTAAAACAAAGTTAGATAATCATGTTTGTTAATTACCTTTCATGACATATGGCCCCTTAAGCCAAAGCTCACCAGCCCGGTTGACTCCCAAACCCTCACCGCTCTCCGGCGACACAATCCTTGCCTCCATGTTCGGCAGCAACTTCCCCACCGCCCCTGGCTGCCGCCGCACCTCCTCCGCCGTGTCCATCGACGCCACCCACGGCGACTCCGTCAGCCCATACGCCTGGCTCACCGTCACCCCAGGGTACCTCGCCGAAAACTCCTCCGCCACCTCCTTGCTCAAAGGCGACGCGCCACACAGCACGCGCTGTAACGTGCCCAATTCGTACTTCCCATGGATCCGATCCGCGTCCTTGATGTAGAACACCAAGTTAGGTTAAGATAATACACTTGTGCTTTGTGAAGGTGAAATCCAATTTTATCATGTACGTCCAATTTTTTAGAATATGAGTCATACAAGTAATATTACGAGTATTATTATGTAATTTATAGAATTATATTCTTTAGTAGAAGTGTGTTTTACCGAATTTTGATATACCAACGCAATTAAAAATGAGCGTGACAATACCTTAATCATAGATACGAGAACCGGTGGGACAAGTGGCAAATCCGTCACTCCAAATTTCTCGATGGACGACAACATATCGTCCATCGAGTAGCTCGAAAGGACCACCACGGTGGCCCCGGCCGCGAGCAGGCCCAAAGAGAACATCGTGAGGCCGTAGATGTGGAACATAGGGAGCGTGCACAAGAATGTGGCGGGAGAAGCCTTCCCGCCTTCGACGACGCGGCGCTCCGCGGCCGCGATACGGTGTCGTCTGACAATGTTCTGCACCACGGCGATGAGGCTTCGGTGGGAGGACAAAACGCCCTTGCTGGTCCCTGTGGTCCCTGAGGAGTACAGCAGCGTCGCCACGTCGTTTTGACTGACCCGATCCGTACAAATGTTATTACTATTGCCAGGTGGACACGTGATCATTTTGGTCAACGTGGTGACAATTTTCACGTTGGACGGGTAACGGTGACGGCCGTAGTCGTCCATGAGGACGACGTCAACGGGGGAGCTGACGGAGCTAAAAGCGTCCGCGAGTTTCCCGAGGAGTTCGTGAGTGGTGAAGGCGAGGGCGGGCTTGGAGCTGGCGATCTGTTTGGCGATTTCGCCGGGGGTGTTGACGGGGTTGACGGTCGTTATGACGGCGCCGAGGGAGATGACGGAGAGGGCGACGACGGGGAAGAGGATGGAGTTCGGGGAGAGGAGGAGGACCACGTGTCCCTTCCGGAGCCCCAGCTCGGAGAGCCGAGCCGAGACCGAGCCGACGGCGCGCCAGAGCTGGCTGTAAGTGAGGTGGGTCCCCGTGGCGGCGTCGATGAGGGCTGTTCTTCCGCCGTCGTGGGCGTGGGCGGCGATGAAGGTGGCGACGTCGAGGAAGTCCGCCGGAGGGAGCGGGGAGGGGTCGCGCCGGCTGTAGAAGACGGCGTTGGATTGGCAGAAGCCGCTGATTGGGTCGACGGCGGCGGGGAGGGAATCGCCGATGAGAATATTGTTACTTGTCATGTTGACGTTATGGTTGTTGTATGGGATTTGGAAGTTTGATTTAGCTACAAGAAAGTAGTTTGGTTTGTTGTTTGTAAATGTGGCATACGGATTGGAGCTATATTTATAGTTCAAATTTTGGGAGGAAAGTGGGGTCTGTTTCGGGACGCGTTTCTTTTAGTGTCATTGTTTTTTTTCACACACACTTGCCTATAAATATTCACATACGCGCTGATAATAAAATTTTGATCAATTTTGGATGTGTGGTATAATAATCAGTCATTTTTAATCATTAGATGGATAAAAAAAATGATGTCGAACTTTTAGTTGCATAAAAATCTGAAGGAATATGTATGAATTGGAATAAATATCGCTTATAAATTTTATTTGAAGGCAAGCTAGGAGAGCATAGAAGCTGACTCAATTATAAGATCGACTATAACCAAATGACAAATGCGATAGTTCATATGCAACCAGACTCTCGATGAAAAAGTATGTTTTATCATAATATAGGGGCAACTACATTGAAACTTCTAGAAGTAAAATTAGGACGTGACACAGACTAAAAAAAAAAACTAATGGATTCGTCCATTGCTAGCCTGAAAAGCTTCCACTGAGTTAACATTTCGGATGAGAAATTGAGAGTCGCCACATACAAAAATAAACATTCAAAAAAATTATGCATTAGACACCATCTCATAGCATCAGGTAGGATAAGATAATTTCGGCAACATATGCATATGAAAATGCCATCAAGAATTTCCCAAAAATAAAAAAAATCAATCCATCTCCTGGTTTATGGGATTTTTCCAATAATAGCACGTTTAAATTTTTTTTATAAAACTAGCACCAATCCGAAAAAATTGACAGAAATAGCACTAATTTTAATGGAACGCACCTCTAAGGTGCGGTTTATAAGTAAAACGCACCTTAGAGGTGTGTTCCAAGCCACGTCAGCACAAGAAACGCAGCGCCAAGATGCGATCTTCAGATTCTGCGGAACGATCTTGAAGACCGTTGGATGGAGGAACGATCAGAGCGCTGAACGCGTGTCAGGGGAGCGATCCGCGCCACGGATCTGGGAACGCATCGCCTATGTGCGGTCAACACCTGGGGAAGCGCAAATCGCCTTGGCAAGGTGCGTTTTATATGAGGGCAAAATTACCCGACCGCCCCTGGAGGGTTCGGTCTGTTGGGTATAAATACCTCCCCTTCCCCTCTCATTTCTTCACACCACAACCCATTCTTCCTTCTCTCTCTAGATTTTATCTCTCTAAACCCTCCTCTCTTAAAAGCCTAGGAAATAGTGGTCTGTTGGTTGCGGCTAAGTCCGATCTGCCATCAGAAAATATTTCTTAGGTTTTTTCCTCAAAACCCGCCGAGCCGAATCTTTGTCCGAAATTTGGTTTTTTCCTCAAAACCCGCCGAGCCGAGCCGAACCTCTGTCCGAATTTCCCGAAAAAATGGCCGATTGGTGGCAAGGAGAGGGAGTTTATGTCGATGAATTTCAAGCGGTATGTACTCATTATTCTGGTTTAATTTTTGTTGTTGTTATAAGCTTTTTAATTAATCTATGTACTAACCTCGTTGTTATTTTCTCGTAGGTTGGGGAGGACGTGGATATATACAACCAACGGTATTATCTCGAGCAAGGACCGTTGGATCCAACCGACTTGTACGACCAACCCAACCATCGGTCAAGGGATATTTGGAACGATCACCCGGTACATACAATTCTTCACCATTTGTCCTTCTTTTATTTTGTTAATGTATTTAGTGGAATATAAAATAAATTTATGTTGATTTTTTAATCGTGTTGGTTGTTTTCAATAATTTAATCGAATACATAGCGCAACTTACTTCGACTCTTTATAAAGAGATGCACGTCTAAGGAAAAGGGGTTTTAAGCGATTATCATATCCTCCAATTACCTGGGAAAATCGGGTATTAAGAGATCCTCGGATCTCCCCTTTTTCTGTCAAAAAGACTGCGTTTGTAAGAAGATGTATACCTCTTCTAAGAGTCTAACGAGTGTTGCTCTGTATTCGATTAAATTATTTAAAACAACCAATACGATTAAATTATTTACCAAACAACCAATACGATTTATTTTTATGTGTAAAAAAAGAATTTTATTAATTTCAAACATTTGAATATGTATGTTTCTATTTAAATTATTTCATTAACAATGTTATTTATGTTAATTAATTTAGTATGTTTGTTTTACGATAATATGTATGTATCTCTTTAAATTATTATTCATTTAGAATGTTATTATGTTAATTAATTTAGGATGTTTGTTTTATGATAATATGAAATGTCTTTTTATGATAATAAAATTCTGCTTGAAGTTAAATAATTTAATTTAATTAATTTACTTATAAGAAAAAACCCTTACTAATATATAATAATTAACGTGTAAATTTTCGCTAGGAGGCACAAACAATACTCCGCTACAGGGGTACCACCAATGTGCTCCCATTCCACCCAGCTATCTTGCCCTTTCTCAAAAGGGCACGGTTGGACTCGATTAGGCATTTTAACGGCATCAAAGTTGATCAACAACTCATCACCGCATTAGCCGAGAGATGGAGAAAGGAGACCCATTGTTTCAACTTTAGAGAAGGAGAGGCCACCATCACGCTAAAGGATGTCGCCATCCTAACCCATATGCACATTATCCCTTGTGTTTTAGCTTATTGTAGTTTCATTATTGTCTTATTAATAAGGTGGCTCGGACACACAACATGCGACAACCTTTCCCAACACAAGTTGGACGAGTATCGGAGGAGGTTTGAGCGACTTTGGGAAGGAGAGGTAACTTCTATACTTCGATCCATTTATATCTTTTTCCATGGGATTACATGTATTTTTCTAATTAATTAATCTTACGTTACTCATTTCTTTCTTGTAGATCGTCTTCGATCCATACCCAGAGAACATCGTTCATTGGCATCTCCAGCAATTCCCCGGTCATATTGGGCAATGGTGCACGAGGGTCCCTCTAATTTGTTTTGGGACCATGGAGTGGCACTTGCCGGATCGATGCCTCCGTCAGTTTGGTCGGGAGCAGTGCATTCCGTTGGAGGTCCCCGATAGTCAAAGGGCCTTTCATGGCCGAGATGGTTGGCAAGGTACTCGCGATTGGCCCACGAAGTTGGCAAACTTCATCGCGATTTGGGAGAACCGAAAATCCCAGGATATTGTCACTCCAACTCAAGTGGGCCGAATGAGGTATCATGACCCATACTTGGATCGATATCGGCAAACATCGGTTCGTTACATGACTCCGGAGGGTGCGGCCGATGGTGCATTAGTAAGTATATTCCGTCTAAACAATTAAATTTATTACTTGGTTCCTAAATCTTTTTCTAACTTTTTTTTTGTGATTTAGGCTGATGGGATCGAGCGGATCAAAGATATGACCACCGGGAGAACTGAGTTGGGCAATGAAGATGTGAGATTCATCAGGAGGATGGCAAACAGTCTACTTGGCTGTATCAGAATATCTCGGCTTTGGAAAGATTGTTGGACCTCAAGAATTCGACCATGGCATCTACCTCATCCTGAGTGGTTATGTGATATTCCTCATGCCACAATGACCCACTTTCTCTGTTTGGATATCGGTACACCATACGATCAACTCTTCTCGTGCCATCCATGCAAGTAACATTAGTGCACATTTGATGGAGGTCTTCAAGCAGCGGTCTGGTAGCGACCTTTATCTTCTGAAAATTGCCACCGACGTAGGTGACCCCCTTTCCGGTCTCTTCCGTGTAACCATTCCACCGTAAGCCTAGCGTGAACTTTTGGAATGCCATCTGCGAAAAAACCGTAGTTCAGTTAATATCATAAAATTTAAAAATAAAAAATAACACTAAAAAGTAATACAAAATAACTTACGAGTTAACGTTAATCGCAAAACTACTAAAGAAATATAGAGCTACAACAGAAAATTGAAAAGGGAGAAGGAGAGGTGTGAAGAGAAGTGGTTTTCCGGAAGCCTTTTATAGGCAAAATCACTGATGAAAACCGCACCTTAGAGGTGCGGTTTTCGTCTGCCATGCAGGCCCATGCAGACCCACGTCTGTTATTCTGCATGGAATGCCGGAAATTAATTGACCAAAACTGCACCTTGGGGGTGTGGTTTGAGTGGCAAAACCGCACCATGCAGATGCGGTTTTTGTTTGGGAGAAGCAAACCGGGGCTTCATGGTGCAGTTTAGATAGGTCAGGCCAAAACTGCACCTCGGCCAAGCAGTTTCTGTAGGTCAGACCTAAAACCGCTTGGCCAAGATGCGGTTTTGGTTCAGGATTTTAAAACGCGCCATAGAGGTGCGGTTTATATATAAAACGCACCTCTAAGGTGTGGTCCATAAAAAAGGGTGCTATTAGTGTAAATTTTTTCGACGGGGTGCTATTTTTGTAATTTTTTTTTAAAGGTGCTATTTCTGGAAATATCCCCTGATTTATCTTCATAGTGCTATCAAATAGCTCGAGAATGTCATTTCTATTTTCAAGGAAAAATTACGTCCCAACCACCTATTTGACGACCTTGTATGATTTGCTTTTATTATAGGCATTTCAAAAAAATTGCTACAATTTTAGAGATTCTCTCAATGAAAAGAAAAAATTTAGTAGTTAAATATATTATTTCTTATAAGTAAAATATTATGAATGGATTGTAGGTCTACCGTACTATATCATCCTATCTAACTTCTTAATTCAAAAAATATAGAATAATGTCTACATTAGGTAAATAAACTAACGACCTATATGATTATGGTCAAACTTATTTCGTTATAGATTAAAAACAAACCACGCAAGCTCTTAATTTAAATCATATGAGTGTTAGTTGAGGTTGACTTGGAGTCGCATGAACTAATTAAGTTGACTAGATTTTAAGAAACCAACCAATTATAAATTGGCAGCAATAGGGCCAAATGTACTTTCGACGAAATCATTGCGCAACAACCCCTTACTTCCGTTCATGGAAATTGTTTTGCGATGAATTCACATGGAACTCTCACTTCGTACGTCAAGATATAGAATT